TACTTTTCCGGGCAACAGTTTGAAAATGGAAAATATAATTTGAATTTTTATGACGTATGATGGCCTTTCTCCGCTCCTTGGCTAGTTCTGTTTCAACCCTGGATGAAGTTTACGTAACCTGTTTACTTGGTTTAGTAGGTATTATCCTCGAATTTAGTTTATTTCGTTGCGTAATGTCTTTCAGAGTCTAAAGAAAGGGTTAGGGATGAAAGAGGCGGCCACAAGGCTTTCTGCATCTCGATCTGAGTATTATGCACCTCTATTTTTATAATCCAGCTTCAGGATGTTAATCAAGATGACAGCGGCTCCTTAGTGTAGGATCTGGCTTGGGGATTTTCCTCTCCTAGTTGCAAGAATCTGCACATACATAGACCCTTATAAAAACATAAAATCTGCAGTCTTCTCTTCTCCCTAGAAATATCTGCACAGTATTTCTTCTGGATAAGCATCCGGTGCATGTGCCCTAGGTCGCAGAGGCCTGTCAGGAGTCCAATCATAATCCTGGTTCTGTTGCGGTGGCCATCCCCAGCAATTCTTTTGTAAGCTCTTCTATGATTCTCTTCGTGTGCCTTATACCTGGCGTATTTCTTCTCCAGGATTTGGACTCGTTAAGTATCCATTTTTGATTAATCCTTTTTTGTAGCAAGATGCAGTAGAGTTCAGGGCCTAGAGAATTCATAATGGCTCTTTTTTTGGCCACCACTTTCTCATTGCCTCCCGAATCCCTAGGGACTCATGCCAGGGTCAGATCAGAGTCTAATGAATAAAAACTTAATCCGAAAGTCAATGGGCACGGGGGAAAAAGAAAAGAAAAAGACCCCTCGACGAATTCGAAACATCTTGTTTAGAGTGACTGATTTAAATAATTCGGAATATGAGATTTCTTTTCGAATAAACTGTCACGATCGTAATACCATTATTACTTTATAAAAACTCAAATAACCTTACTAAATTTACAAAATGTAATATTTTACCGAGAACAGTTTATTGATGAAAACGTGTGCAGATAACGATATCTGAAGAAAATGATATCTAATTATCCAATTTCCTCCTGCAGTTAATAATAGGAAAAAAGATAAATTCATAAGCTCAATTGATAAGTCATACGTAGAGCACGGATTTGTATGCACTTGCATATTCTTTTTGCTTACAACAATGATCAGATATTTATCCGAATCATACCTCATTGGATATAATGGTTAAAATTGTATTCTGCAAATTTGAAGAATAGTGCATAAATTTGCATACTGCAAATTGGAAACATTTTTGATTACTGAAAAAAAAAATAATTGAGGCAACTAAGAACACGAGAGGAAAATATCAAGAGCCTACAATTTGATTCGAATTTCAGTTAACTTGCCAGGAACTAAAATGTCAATCTGTCACAACACTCTTGAAATAATCGAAATCCTTTTTGAGGCCCCTACTTTCAAAACTAGGTGCGGTTTTTTTGCCTTTTCTGAATAATTACTTTTTCTAAAGTAGTCGGGTTTTGGAAAAGGTCCACATTGGAAACACCAACATCTCAGTCTCAATGCCGAAAGTGGGAACTTAATTTCTTGAAAAATAGCAGGTTGGATTTTTACTTTCAACGTAAAACAGAAATTGGTAAACTCACCGGGCATGCAGGATTTTATTATAACATAAATTAAAAAAGCATCCCTGACATAAATATCGGATTGACAAAAATTGAATTGGTGAAAATTAATAAAATCTTAAATGTAAACAATAAAGTTAATACAGGGAGTCGACGATCCTGTTATGTATTTTATGTTTAGTTAATCATTAGTTTCGTATGTTCCTGCGAGTATGCTCCTATTGTCTATTTCGACTTTTCTTTTTCGGGGTACAAATATTTGTTGAGCGATAAACGCTGTAGTTTCATATAAATTAACTTTGAAATGGGTCTTCAGATCATGAACTTAATCAGACTTAATTATTTATTTTATATATTCTAAGTTATATGATTTTATGATATTACTGAGATTTGTCGGTCCTATTTCCTTTTAAAATGTATATGTACTATATCAAAAACACTATTATTATTATTATCATTCTCAGTACCTGGATAACTAATCATTATTAACAATAGAACTAGCTTTTCTAATAAATATCTTATTAAATTGTGTATATGAGTAAAAGTTGTGCGATTTTTTTCACAGGGAAGTTAGGTAAAAATTATAGCTGCGCTTTTGTTAAGCCGGTTGAATATAAAATTTTCCAAATAAGGCCATAGCCCGGGCTTTGTTATTTACCATCGGTTCGACAAAAAAGGGCGGGACTAATAAATAATAACACCGTAATAAAGGAATAAAGAACACTTGAAATGTTGAGAATAGCTCGAGACGGAACCGCTTCCGGGGGGCTGCAGGTGCAGAGCTAAAGCTCTTTCTAAAACTAAAGAATAATAGATTACACTATTTTAACTTGGTTTTTGTTCAACAAATTTTGTTTATTTTTAGGCCCTAGAAAACATGGATTTACAACGGTTTTTAAATCTTAAGGAGGTCACTTATTTCCGTTCTTGTGTCATTATTTGTACTATTTCCCCAGTATTAGATTATTAAGTGCACATAATGTAGATTAATAATTTAATAAACAGTCGAAAGCACCTTTCTATGCTATTTGTTCTTATGAATTTTGTTAAAGTTTGGCTTTATTCACTTTTGGACAAAATTAGAGCTCCACTCAATTTTAAGAGTTGTTTGATGCCACAAAACTATTGGTCATAAAGGTACTAACATTATTTATATCGAATTGATTAATTATTTAATTATAAAAATGACCATTTTTCTTTCTATTCTTCATCAGTTAATTTTTATTAGTTAAGTGGTTTTCATTTATCTTAAACGATTTTTATCTCCTCCGATTCATTCAGTGTACTTAACTGAGTGTGATGCTATTAGAGCTGTAACATTCCGAGGGAACTACACGCTATATCGTGTACCTAAAAATTATTATTTAAAAAGTTTAATGAAGGAGTCTAACTGCCGGTGTACCACTTAAAACTCGTACGCACATAAACACGTGTATCGACCTTCAGTTCACTGAAGACTCGAAAATACTCTTAAGCAGGTGTCCCTCTAAAAACGTCAGATGGTCTTGTAATATTGGTCAAGGAAGGCGTGATGTCGCCAGGGTTCTTCGGCTATTTACAAACTTGGAATGCAACATCGGAAGGCGTGGGCTGGGTCGCCGGAGGACCATAAGCTTTATTGAAAATAGGTATATCCTATACCTGAAAATGAGATATGCCCGGAATGTTTCCGTAAGAGGAAGCCTATTGAAGTGAACTTGCCGTGAACCGCTCTTTACCACCGCTTAAAAACACGTGGTCTACATGTTTAAGTTTACAGTTAGTTGTTGTGAAGAAATACTTAAAATTTCGTTGAAAATTGAAGAATGTCTTGGTATTTCATTATTCATTTTGGCTGGAATCGAATGTCTGTCTGGATTAGTCACGAATTAAATCGTAAATGGATCTTAGTCGTAGTTTAGCGTGAATGTACGTTAAGGCATTTCCTTCGACTCTAGAATCTTGCTCTCGTTTTAAAAAGGTCTTTGACCCTACGTCAAGAGATAATTGAAGAAAGTTTGCCTAATATTTTGCCTAATAAATAAACGATTACTTAAACGCCTGGTGCGGTTACAAAGGTTGATTCAAAAATTAAATCGTAGTCCGTTTCAGATCAAATGGACGTAGGATCACACGGAGGCACTGAACGTTGGAGAAGTTTCGACTTTAGTATCTAGTTCGTCGTAGTAAAGAGGTCTTTAACCTAAAAAGATAGTCAAAGTACTGTCCTATAAATTTAAACGATTACTTGAACCATATAGTGTGGGGTCCAAAGGTGGATCCCACGTCAAATTGGAGTCGGTCTGATATCTTAAAATGGTCGTAGTTTGAAGCACCGTGGGGGTACATTGGAGACATTTCCTTCGTCGTAGTGAAGAGTCTTTCAATTGACAGAGATAATTGAAGAACAAAGTGTAATATCTCTCTATAAATGAATATGACTGGATTGGATGTTTTAGAGTCTGGATTTAAAATATCCTCACAATTTCAAAGGGTTGTTGAATTATGGGAAAATAACACTTGAGGTTACGTTAAAAAATCTTTGTTTAATTTATATATCCTTATTGAAAATAGTAATAGAGTGCATGTTTCGCCTGATCTTCCTTCGTGCTCTATTCCTTTTAACCATCTTTCAATTTGATTCGTATCCTTTATCCTTCTTCAATATATGTCTCCGAATTAACAGCAGCCATGTGTGAATTTCTTTTTGCCATGGCGTAAAATTATCGTCGGATCTACCCGGTTGTGAAGTAAACAAATATTGCACATAAGCGTAAATCTATGGGCGGGCGTCTACGACCGAACAACACTCCGGCCCTTAAGGACAACCAGGTGCAAGCAAGTACCTGAAGTACCTAGAATACCGGCAAACGGTGTGCGGTTCTAAAAGGAAAATTGGAAAGGAAAATCGACCGCACCCCTTGGGTCATAGACGCGGTCTACCTAGTGCGATCCGGGCTCCGGTGCAACAGCCCCTGACCACGGAAAAATAGGTCAGAGGCTAACGCCCGGCGCCGATAATACTCAGAAATACCTACGACCGCCCTTTATAAACCTCCGGTCACATTCATATTCTCAGGATTGTTGACATCAGTCAAATAGAGAGAAAACAAACTATTAAATTTACTTCAAAGTAACAAATTATGTATATTATATAACGTAACAAAATCAATCCTTGATGACAGAAAAATCGCAGCCTTGCTGCTAGGCTGTTATGCCAAAACAATCGACATTTTATCAACCTTTTTAAAACGTGGTTCTCTTTCATAATTCTGGATAATGACCTATCCTAAACCTCTTTAGCATTTACACTTCGTACGTTTGACGGGATTTCTTTCAACCCAGCGGTTTTTTAAATTTTATTTTCTTGCTTGCCAGGAAGACTTTTTGTTGTACAATTTATTAATTGATAAAATCTTTTCAGATTTTGAAAAATACATTGGCCTGGCAATTACATTTATCGAACAAAAGATATGGAACAAAAATTACATTTATAAGGACCTGCAATGCTACTAGAAAATCTATGGTAAAAGGCGCGTTCATAATTAGGATGGAATGCGAAACAAAGCCAAGGTAAAAATCTAACAAATTATATTGAAAATTGATCAAAATTATGTTGTATTAATTATTCTATCAAGTTATGTGGATCCCTGTCCTTTTCCAATTTTCTAATTTTTCAACGGCCTTTCAAAAGTTAGCAAAATCCATAAGGTCGAACTTTGGCTTTTATCCTCGGAGGGAAAATAAATTAATTCGCCCTAACGGTAAATTATCGTCTTTATATGCGCCTTAAGACCCAGACGGCTGGGAAAGAAGGATAAACGCCGTTTCTTCATTTGGGAACTCAGAATGGTCAAGGTCGGTAAACTAGGTGTAAACAAACATTACCTTGGTTGTATCTGTTTTGGAAGGGAGTTGTGGTGTAAGAGGTGGTTGATTGGAGGGGCATACAAAGTGGAAGGGTATTCCAACATCCGCGTTCTCAAAAAAGTCAAACATAAATTAGTACCGTATCACCGTTACCTAGTCATATCTTAGTTGTAAGTAAAATAAATATTAATAAAATCAACACAGCTTTGTTAAATTTTCTCATCTTAATCAATGCTACATCATAAATTCATGAATTACAATTCATTTTAACTTATAAAGATAATAGCTTGAAAGTGTTGTTCAGCTTCTTCTCCAGACCAATTACCACAGTAGTTTGTACCGTTCGTATCTACAAAGTGTGGCGAATTATGTGCCACAGGATGTACAGAATTAATACAATAATGATCTTGTTACCGACATGTTCTCTCGTTAAAAAAAGACATAAACTTATCATTAACAAAGTTCGAACATTGATATCTGTCCGTCTGTGTAGACTTACCAAAAAAATATGTTGTATTTACAAAAAAAAGTTTGATATTGAATAGTAATCAAATTTTATTATAGATTTGGCTAAACATAATTACTTTTCTTTATTTCGTTTACTAATTTTAAATTCTTGTTCAATTTTTCCCTGGTTTAATTTGTACCGTACATCCACATTTTTTAGGGTCAACTAACTCTTTTTTTGTACAGCTTTATTTTGAATATTTTACAGTTTTTTTTTAAATTTTTTAAAACGTATTACGTTTATCTCACGGTTCCGATTAAAAATTATAATCTGCGTACCCACGTATTGTCATATTGGTTTTGGGTCTGATGCGTTTCTTTATTATCAGTCAAACATTTCTTTTCATTTACGTCAAATTCTTAGCCAACCTGTAAATATGTAAATCTTTGATGCTCATGTTATTTAAGATAGCGTTTCAGGAAAATATTTTTGTTTTCAACCCACCCAGACAGTACAGTGCGGTCCTAATCACTTTTCCATTATAAATATTTCCTTTTGCTACGCCTCGTTGAGAGAGAAAAAATATGATGATTAAGAAATGGAACGTTGTTTACAGACTTCCAAGGTAAAATGTATATAATTGCCATGTGCCGATAGAACAATATAAAGGTTAAAAAGACGTAGAGCAGGGTCGAGGTTATGCAGGTCATGGTGGTGCCACTCCATACATAGATCCTACCCTCGTGTATCAGTGTGGCCTCTGCTTATTGGGAGCAGCCAATTGGGACCCATTGATTCAATCACCCATAAAAGATGTGACAAAAGTAGTCAATTATTACCTATTAAGGTACAATTCAGATGTACCATTCTGGAACGTTGTCGGGCGCCTTGCACAATTCTTCCAATTGCATGAGCTTGTTAAATACACCGTTTTAACAATTGTTTCCGTTTTAGGTAGAGAACTTGTTGAAAGAAGACCGGATATGCCTCGCAAATTCTTCTAATGAAAATGGTAAGAACTGATCGATTATCTTTTATTTCTTATTATAAAATAACACCATTGTATTGAGAGTTTTCAATAGAATTTTTCATAATTACGTGAGATTTTTTCTGAGGTATGGAGATTGCTTAAATATAAAGCAAATAAACTCTGCATGTACTTCAATTATTTAAATTAAAGATTTTTCAAATAAAATATTCTTTGTTGTTACATATACAGTGTGAGTTTTTATAAAAGACATGATAAATTTAAAGGTAGCATGGTAAATGGATATTACTGAGTTCAGAAGGTTCAGAGTTTCAGTTTCTTTGGGTAACTACAAAAAATTTAATTTGCGTTCATTTTTTTCAGCCTAACTGATTGTTGTTATTTAAAGTGAAGTTTAAAAAAATAAACAAATTAAACTTTCAATTTTGTTCTATTTTAACCAGTTACACGATATATTGACATTCTCGAGTTCTGATGGAAAACTTCAGTATCTCCAGAACGAATCGATGAATTTTTGAGTTACTGGTATCATTTTTTTATAATGTAAAGTTTTTTCAAATCGTGTGAAAAAAATTCATCCTCAAAAATTCTGAACTCAGCTATTTCAATTTATCGTTTAACTAATTAAAAAAAGGAGAAAATTGAAAATTAATTTGATTTTTTTTTAACTTCACTTTAAATAACAACAATCAGTTAGGCTGAAAAAAATTAATGCAAATTAAATATTTTATAATTACACGAGATATTGAAACTTATAAAAACTATATTATCTTAAAGTGATAATTAGTGTTATTTTTCTTCAATAGGTTGTTTTATTAAATTTTTTTAATCCTATTATAATATTCCACAGTCGGAGGCAACCATCATTTTTGGTATATGGAATATATATAATAAATAATAAGATAAAAAGAAATTGAAATTATCGAGTTCTGGAGGAAAACTTCAAAATCTCCAAAACAAGTTTCTATTATAATTTTTTTAGACTGGAAAGGATTTTAATAATGTGTGGAAAAAATAGGGCATTACATTTGAAAAAAAAGTTGATCACCAGGCAGGCTTAACGCGCCAATTTATTTTTTTTCTCTTGTATTTGCGAGGGTTCGCAACGGTCATACCTCGGGATACCGGTGTTTCTGAAAAAAAACCAATTTTTAAGTATGTCGGGTTCGAATACAGGGCCGCTGGATTCGAACCTGGAACCTTTACCTTACAGCAGGGCTTTTCAATCTTTTTATCCAGCGGACCCATTTCACAGAACAAAATCTAGGAAGGACCCCTCGCATTCAAGCATTTAAAATTAGCTACTTATGTATTTGTAATAAATGACAGTGTTATAAATTAGCCAGTACATTCCTGATTAGGCGATATAGAGAGATATCACTAAAAACAAACGGTAAATTGACATCATTAGCTTTCTATACAAAATCCTGAAAAATCAAATTGGACAGAACGGAATCAATAGGTATTTCCATTTTTTTAAGGTAAAATTCGAGCCACAGTAATAAAAGTAATAATTTTAATATTTATGATTAATGAGTTACGCTGGAGAGGGACAGCTTCGGTATTTAGGTTTTGGTGGCTGTATAGATAGAAAATACGGATTCGCATAGGTAAGTCGTGGCAATAACGAGCGGTTGAAACTTTTTGTTTTCCAGTCGGAGTCAAAAATGGGGTAAGTATCGGACTCGAAAGTAGATTTCAAGGTGGAGGACTGAAGTAATGTCTATCAAACATTCGCATTAACTTGAATAAAGTCTGTTGGCTTTGTCGAAACTGAAAACGGTTCGACCACCCGTTCATGGTCTTGTAGCAATGTATCTCGAGCTGTTGGGAAATCGCCGTGCCGTTCGCAAGCTCCGGTTTGTTTCCTTTTAAAAAATCATTTAAGTCAGGAAAGCACTCCACCTGTTCCTTCTCAACAGATTAAACCAAACACTGGATTTTTCGTGAATGAGAAATTTGTCATTTTGACATCGAAAGTTGTGATACTCTTCCCATACAAAGACTCATTTCATTCATTTTAATGAAAATATCTGATAAATATGACAGTATATGTATATTGCCATTGAAAACTTTGGCCAATTTGGCATTGTGGTCCATAAGCAGAGAACTTTCAGAGCCTAGTTCGTGTAATCAATCGTGAAAGTGCTTTCCCACGAGACAGCCACCTCGTTAATGTATGGAGAAGCATGGAATGCTGAAGGCTTCCCGTATTGTCACATACTATTTTGAAAAGATTTCAATAGACGCGACTTGATATAATTAATAATTTGAACAGACTCATCCCAAACTTTCTTGCTGGCATTTGTCTCACGGCTAAAGCTTGTCTCTGAAATCACAATGACTGCTGCTGCAAAATAAAAAACTATCGTTTTCAATACTCATTGTTATTAGTTTTTAATTTTATTTATTCACCTTACGTTTATTTTTGCAATTGTTACTGTTTCTTGAACTCCGCGGACCACAGTTTGGAAAGCCGCTCCTAAACCGTTGCGGCCACCTACGCCTCGCCAAATTATTAAATTTTTAATAGCACCAGCGGATTTTACATGAAAAATTACCTTTTGAACCTTAGTTAAGTTACTTAATTTTACAATATAACAGACAGGAAAAAATAAATAAAATGTCATGTCTTTTATAGAAACTCACAAGGTATAGAGCGGGGTAGCTAACTTAATAATTCTAAATGCTGAATTTTGTTTGAGTTTTCATAAAATTGTTATATTTGAAAGGCGTATAAACGAAATAATCGATCGTAATTAAAAAAATGAAATGATCAATGACAAATTCAGTAGATCAATAATTATGCCATTTTGTTTAAATTATTGATACCATAACCTTTAACGGGGTTTCCTTATGCCATTCTACCAAAGGCTTTTCGAATTTAATCGAAAAAGTGAAAGCGATGCACTTTTTGCTTCTTATCTGAAGGCGCTAGGTCCGGCGCATATCGCATATAATTTTTACCGCGTCACCAACGAAATATGAGTCCAAGAGGCGTTGTCATATAAGAAAACGGCTTTTCACCAATGCAGACAGGTTTTCCTTGACTCACGCCAGTCGGTCCATGCTTTTTCATGTATGCCGACCCACCAGTTTGATAAGCCCTCCTTGATCCTTATCCTCGCGGTTTGAAAGGAAAATCATCTCTTAAACCTGTGCCGCTTAACCTGTGACACTTGAGATAAGGTGAAATAACTTTCTGTAAATGGAAAAGTACATTGCCCGTTGATACGGCGACTATGTCCGCTATCTCACGAGTGATATACCGTGAATTAAAGCCTAAGTTGGACGAAGTGAGCTTTCAACGGACTTTCTTTGCCTTTCGAACCTCCTCTAACACAGGACATTTGTTTTCTTGGATGATAACCATTTTGTCTTTTAGAAAATAAAACAGCGTTTGCCGAGTAAATATATTTCAATTCAGTTTTGACTTCTCGGTTTTCAGGTTGTGTTACTTTTATTTGTTTAGCATTTTTATGAGTTTTTCGGGAACAAAACAACTATTCATTTTTTAAATCGTTTTATTTATTTTATTTGATCGATTCCGTAGATATTGGAAATGAAAGATACATGTGAAAATTTTAATTTAACAACAGCAAAAAGAAAAAAGCCCCGAAAATTGATCTAATAAAAGATATAAGAAATAAATTGCTATATTTAGTCCTTAAAAACAAAATCAAAACGTATAAAAGAAGAACAACTCGAAAACGAGAAGACAATATTTTAACAAAAAATAAAATAAATAGATTTTGTTGAACCGACACTGGGTCCGTCTACACGCGTGGGTATTTTACGCAAACGCACTTGTCGCCATCTTCAGTGAGGAACAGGCCCACTGCCGGTTCAACATTCAAAGGTTCTGTTCATCGACTCCGCAGACCCACACCTCCATTCAACTTTAAAAGATGATTTATTAATAAGTGAACAGCATCTTAAAGTCGATTGAAGTTTAAAAATATAGGATATAGAACAATCGTAATTCTTTCAGTAATAACTTTTATGATAATTAGTTCATTTCTGTCCAACTTTTCATGTTGCAAAGAGACCTACTCGAAATGTTGGATTCGAGTATTAAAAACACTCTCTTTACAAATTTAAACCAACATCATATGAATTCTGTTTTAAACAGAAGAACGAACGTGTAGATTTGATTTCACGTTGATTAATCATTAAAATAATATTAAAACACGAGTAATATACCGTGGCTAGAAATGTCAATTTAATTTTACTCTGCCTATTTTATTGTAAAACCAAGTATGATATAAAATTAATTTTTCATGTAGAATCTGCTGATACTAATAGAATTTTATTAAGTTGGCGCGTTAAGCCGAACTATTTTCTTTCACACATTTTGAAAGAACTTTCCATTCTAATAACATTGATATTTGAAATTCATCGATTTGTTCAGGAGATAAATTTCCTTCAGAACTCAATAATTTCGATTTATCGTGTAACTAGTTAAAAAAAGAGTTAATTAACAATTTAATTGAGTATAATATATTGTTATTTCAATTTAAATAACAACAATCAGTTACATGTTAAATTGATATCGAGTCTGAAGGAAAAGTGCTACATCTCCAGTACGTCGATGAATTTCTGAATTTCCGTTAGTGTTTATTTTAGAATGGAAAGGACTTTCATAATCTGTGAAAGAAAATTAGGTATTGCATTTAAAAAAATTTGATAATCATTGCATTTAAAAAAAAGTTGATAATCAGGTCGGCCTAATGAACCAATTTAATTTTTTATTTAAATGGTATAGTTTATAAACGTGGAACTATAATAATTATATAAGGAAAATGATATCGCTGGGGCGTTCTTAGTTATTGGAAGTTTTTCTGATTTATCTCACTTCATCTTAAACGCTCAACTACTTAACGCTCCACTGCCCACGAAAAAGAGTGGAAGAGAACGTTTTCAATGCAAAAGTTATCTTTGGAAGGATTAGAAGTCGATATGTAAAATTTAATGAATGCAATATTAAGTATAAGTTAATTTAGAGATAAAATTTACTATTTATT